GTCTTGTGAAAATTAAGAGATAATTACCTGGTGAGAAATGGTGTAAGTTCTCTTTCACCTTACTATTCTGGTCCCATTATGCATTCTTATTAATAAAATGCATATGAGAAAGATCTTTAAAACAGCTTTATTGAAATGTGATTTGTATGCTTTATAAAGAACTCATTTTAAATGTACAATTCAGCGATTTTTGAGTAAATGTACAGATTTGTACAATCATAACCATAATTTTAGAACATTTCTATCACTCTTCTCTGTTGGAACTTTTCCTCACTTAGTGTAATTTTTCATTCCCGTGCTCCCCAGATTTGCTCATAAGATCTAGCCCTGGGAAATCATTTTTAATATTTAAAATCTATATAAATGTACTGTTTCTACATTGTCTAGCTTATTGCCTTGAGAATATGCCCAATCAACAAGTGATTATTTTGTTCAGTCCACATTCACCACTGAAGGTGTCATGAACTTCATGACAATGGTCTTAGAGTTTTATAGAATTTTAAAATTTATGAAGCAGTAATAAAACTAGCTTATAAATTCTATTCAGGTAAGAGTGTTTCTCTTTTGGTTTCTTGTTTCTTACATGTCTGTTATGTTGTCTACTGATAAATATTTGTCGAGTGTACGCTTTCCATTTTTCTTCAACTGATTTTTACAGGCTTACAAAGTAGGCTGACAAAGACAATTTGTTTAAAGTTATGGATAACACAATGCACAATTGGAGTGGTAGCAAATTGTCCAAAGTTACTCAGTTATTAAATGACATAGAAAGGACTTGTGCTGAAAATTTCAGGACCTTTAACTATACAGGACCATTTCTAATTTTCATTTTGTGTCTGTAAGTTTTATAGTCACTCTTTACAGTGAAAACCCATTTGAGATATGTATGTGTGTTTTAATTTTCTGATTCAGATGCAAAATACCCCCTCCACTGATTCACAGAGGTTGATGCTGTGGATCTAACCCAGGATCCACATTTTCAGTCCTGTGAACTTTTTTTTTTCAGCTTTAATTGAGTTTATTGGTACATTTTAGGGATACAGTACAGTTACATTCATTGTTGGGATCTTGTACCTCCACATGACAAGTCTTGATAGTCCTGTGAACTTTTTAATGAGCCTTATTATCATTTTGTAAGTTCATTTGGAAAATATGTATGATCATCAGTTTAGAAAAATAAATTAAAGTTTTTTTGTAGTATACCATTTTGTTTGCTCTGTGGTTGCCATATTTAATAAGGTGACTGAGTCATTTCTTATGCTTAAATTTTTTAAAACTTTAAACTTTAATATTTATAGAGCACTAACGCATTATTATTATTATTATTATTTTGTACTGGGGATCGAACTCAAGACCTTGCACTTGTGAAGCAGGCAGCAGACTACTAAGCTAAATCCCTGGCCCCACATTATTCTTTTGACTAGTCCCCCTTCCAGTTTTTTGTTTCCAGAATCTTTTGACATTATTTCAGATAGGTATATTGGGGACATTAAGATCACACTTGGTGATCTAATACTTTAATTTAGGCATTTATTGGATGTCTGTCTGTCTATCTATCTATCTATCTATCTATCTATCTATCTATCTATCTATCTATCTCACTATAAGCCTGGAATTTGTTTTAATTCTACAGGTATTAACCTGGTACCTTGTACAAATGCAAAAATATTAAATAAGCAAAAGTTGCAACTATTGAGCTAGCTCTTGTTTTGGAGCAATACTTGATATTTTTCATTAGCGGAATTAGTAGACTGCTGGAGGTATGGATTTATTTGAATCAATTGATCTGGCTATAAAAGGAAGCCAGGGCATTGGCAGTGAGGGTTAGGGAAACTTTGCTTGCCAGAGTCCTGGCTGCATTTATTTCCTGCTGTTTCAGCTGATTTCTTTTGTCCTCCTTCTCAAATTACCCTGTGAATCTACGTAATTTTCATGAACTGATTGGATATGTAGTTTGTATAGAGCATTGCCTTAGATTTATTTAAATGTGTATTGTCAGGAAAAGAAAAAATGTATTTGGGAAGAGGGAATGCTGTGTCAAATTAAATATTTCCCTGTTGCCATTTTTATGCTTCTCTTTCTTGCAAAACAGATTTTCAGTTATTTTAGTGGGAGATGAGCAATCAGGGCCTTAGTTGTTTTATTTGCTGGATTGGTATTATTATTATTATTTCTGAACAGAAAGAATCTGATGAGAAAACAAACTCTGGGAGTGTTTACAATGCTTACTTTCATGGTGGATATTGGGTTTAGGGATATTTTCAGCTTTTCATTTTTATCTTGTCTTCTTGTGATACATGATAAGATGTTTAAATAGGATGGAATTGGATTTGTTTCTCTATTCAGGAACCACTTAATATTCAGTTTCCACAATTTTAGAACATACTTACATTTGTTTTTGGTTCAAAGTAATTCACTCTTTTTTTTTCCAATTTGAATTTAGTTTGCAATGAGTTAAAAATTAACACAGGATAAATTTAAAGATCAACAAGTTACTTTGGAAGTCTTGGCTCATTTTTAATTCCCATTCAAATCTTTGAACAGATAAGTCCTAGGAATACTAAATTCTCTTCAATAATTAATAATCCTTTCCCAACTTATCTCCAACTGGGAGATAATTTATTTTGAGAAATAATCAATATAATGAAATTATAATGCACTAAATTAATGTAGGAAACCTCAGAGGTCTGTTTCAATGACCAAACAGAGTGACCTGTGGGAAAGAAAAAAATCTACAAACCAAATTAAATAAAAATTTAAAAAATCTGGGACTCAACCAGTTTTATTTATTTTTTAGAAGATTAATTTTATTGGTACTTTTAAGGTATACAATATAATGACATTCATCATTGGAAATTTTCACCTTTACGTAATCCATCTTGGCTCTTATTTTTTCCCCACTCCCTTTCATCTCCCCTTCTTCTTTTTCCATAGACATATTACATAGAAGTACTGGTTTAATGTGTTAATTATTTTGAAATCTTATAAGTGTATTTCTCCCAAAGTTTTTGTTTGGAGTTGTATAAAGTTCACAGAGATAAATGTGAAGAAAAAATATTTAAGAAGGAGAGCTAATATTTCTCAGAGAAGAGAAAGTACAAAGAATAAAATTGTTTTAGAATTAAATACATTGGTTGATAAAATAGCTTGTATCATTTCATAGATAAAATTACTTAAATTGTTAGAATCTTAGATCTCATATTTTTTATTGGAATGTAGTGAGACAGGATCAATAAATGGGCAAGGTATAGAAATGACCATACAGCATAACAAATATTTAATAAAGGCCATTAAAATTACGTTGAAAAGAGCTTATGTTACAAAAAGAAGTAAATGATCAGATTTTGCTCATGTATGAACTGATGAGTGGATTGGATTCATGCATAGGTCTTTGAAAAGTCTTACTGTTTTTATGGTCCAACTCAAATTCCCTCATATGTTTTGTATGGTCTTTAAGTCCCTCAGTCAGGATCAATGAGATTGTTGAATTTTCACTGCATGAAAATTTTGGTATTCTTTACTGATTTGCCTTGTGTTAAAGTAATGTAGAAAGAGCTGAGTTGCTACAGTAAAGCCCTACTTTAATCAAACTTTCTGAGTCCCAGTTTTCTTATTTGTAGAGTAAGAATAGAAATAGGACCTCACGTGGTTCTTGTGAGGATTCAGTTGAAAGCATAAAGTACCTTGGGCTGAACAGGCACTCAATAAATGTCAGTATCCTTCCTATTCTGAATTTCGTGTCTATTTTGTCACATAATCTGTAAGTTCCTTTAGGGCAGGACATATGTTTTATATTCAAGGTTCCTTGACTGTGGTAGGTTCTAAACAGTTATTTGTTGAATTAATTTGCTGTCCTGCCATGGGAATTTAGTTTAGCACTATTATTTCCCATTTCTTTTCTCTCTGTCCTCTTAGATTGAGATAAACATGTTGCTTTCATGGAACTGAGGATTTAATTCAGTAGAATGCCACTCTAATCTGACTTACTCCATAGACTTCCTTGGGAACTTAATTATATTCTATAAAATCTTATTAGCCTGTCTCATGGCATCATAGTCACAGTGGAGTTCTGGTGTGTTAAAGATGGTGAAGTCTCTATCTGTAGAAATGTAATGGCACAGAGTAAGAAGAAGAATTTGGGAAATAGATGACACAGAGGGAGCCAATGCAAATGTCTTGCAAATTATGTTACTTGACATTTTCAATCACTAACCTTTCAAGTATGTTCTAATTTACTAAAAAAACCCCAAGAATTTAATTTCTTTTGTGCTTCCTTTGCTTAATTATTAGTGCAGACAGTATTCTGTGATGTACTGTACTTTGTCACCTTTGTATTTATCTAGTATCTGACTTAAAAATGAACAGGAACACTCTGATTTAGCAGAACTGACTTCATAACTCATCTGTGTTATAGAGCAGACTTGAATAAATGTTTGCTGAATATGCCACATGTGCTTCAATCATTAAAATGTTAGGAAATGCCTTTTCTTCTTTCTAAAATACAAGTCTGAGATCTTCCTTTCTGAACTTGGCTGGGTGACCTACTCTCCATACATTTTCTACAGAGGCAAGCCAGATCCTAGGCCTTTACAGCAAAATATTATGCAAAAAGCTACTTTTTATAAATTTGTGACTGGAATATGAGAGCTCTTTTAATGTTTCCTCATTAAGTTTTGAAATTATACATTTATTATAATGTTTTTCTTTAAAAGCAGCAGTATATCCTAAAACATGAAATATATTATTTTTTTGAAAACAAAATGTACTGTGTTCTCAGAATTTTTTCATGCAGCAAAATTGGTTGTAATTGGAATGCAGTTTTTATTTTTGTAATGATACCTAATTATTTCCTTAAAAGATAATTAGCTAGAATTTGTTATCTCTGTATTAAGGATGAGAGAAACTGAGGCTCATTCTTGATTCTTTCTCTGTGTTTGCTAGCAAGAAATTTGAGAAAAATATACTATTATCTAATGATATGCTTTTGTTTTCATTTTTAGTTTCAAAGAACATTGGAGTCTCTTAAGAATGTTTCCAACAAATCTGACCTCCAGAAAGCCTATCAGAAGCTTGGGAAGGAGCTAGAAAATCTGGATTATTTAGCCTGCAAACGTCAGCAGGTAGGTGTCAGCATTCACCTTGGTGGAAGAGATGAGCATTTTAGGGCCCCTGCTGTTCTGCCCGGCAGAGGTGCAGGAGGGTCTGGGAGACTTATCTTCTAATGATTAGGGCAGAAATAGCTTGCGCTGAGCAAATCTGCTGTGTTCATGCAGCTTTCCAGTGTTCAATGTGGACCTTGGTTTTAGAAGTGTAATTTATGGGTTTCCACATGTGTCCTTATGCCTCTTTTAAAGAAAATGGCTGCTGGTTTGTGAAGGTCCAATTACTCTTTTACTAGTGATGCTTCAATGGCAGAGAGGGAACCTTTATGATGCGTTGGCCAGGTGGCTTTTGTATTGGATGGGTTACTCAAGGAGAAAAATCATCCAAAAATCAGTAAAAGGTTGTGGGTGTACATACAGAACTAAGTAAAACAGTCATAAATCTTCCAAAATATGAATTGACATTTAGTTTTCTTTTTTCTTTAAGTTTATCTGTACATTTTATCTGTACAGTTACATTCATCATTGGGAACTTGTACCTTTACATGATGTATCTTGGTTCTTATTTTTTCCCCTTGTCCCTGCCTTCCCTTCAAACCCTCCCCCTTTTTATTTACAAAGACTGTATCCATTTTTTCCTTTTCTCATATTTTTACCTTTCCCCTCCCACTTTCCCTACCCCACTTAGACCTTTCTTCCTATTTCACATCAATTCTACATTATGATCCTTATTTACACTTTTAGTTTTTCATAGCAGGGACACATTTTACACAAATGTCTCCTATTTATTTCACTTGAGAGTGGGGCCTCAATGTGCATCCGTTTAGCTATAAATGTCTCTAGTTTCTTGTTCTTTATGGCTGAATAATACTCCATTTTATATAAAAAAATCTTTATCCATTCTCTAGTTGATGGGCAAATTGGCTGTTTCCAATTTTAGCTATTACAAAGTATGCTGTTATAAACATGAGTGATCTTTGAAAGTGAGTAAAAATTTGTTAAATGTGGAAAGGTATTCAAAAAGTATTTAACATATCTACATCTTTTGCCTCCTTTTATAAAGGTTCCCAGATAAATCCAGAGCAAATATAAACTTGTACAGGGTTGCTTTCAGAACTGGTACTTTATAAATGTAATAGAATTAATAGTTAACATGTTTCAGAGGTACTACCATAAGTAAAATATTTTCAGTTTCTTATAGCCACTAGAGGTCAGGGTTGTCAAGCTTTTACTTTGGTTGAGTGTTTATTCTAATGGGAAAAACCAGTTAGACATTTAAATTAGGTTGCATGGGATTTGGGGATGTGCTCAGTGTGAGATGACATCTGGAAAAATGACTAACTAGTCGACTTGCTTGGCCAGGTATGGAATCCTTCGCTTAAGAGTCCTTCCTTCCTATTAGTGTGACATTCTTGTTATTGCCTAATTCGCAAGTTTTGGGTCTTTGGGGTGGGGATTTTCAAAGCAGCGCATCCTATATTTAGGTAAGCTTCATTAAAAAAATTGGCCCAAAAAGAAATTGCATTCTAGGTTGAAATTACATTCTCACTCTATCACAGATGTTATATGGGCATTTCACCTTTCTGTTGGCTGTTTTCCTATGAGTTATCATTCTTTTATAGAATGTCAGATCAAATGAATCATCTGTACATATACTTTAATTTATGTGAACAGAACTCAACATACATTTAAGTTTTATTTATTTTTTAAATTAGTGATGTCCTTGGTATTAGATACAAAGCATAGGTAGTCACAGTCACCGAGAACTACCATTATAAGGTCCCAGATGTCAATACTTAAAATTTACACCATAAGTCACTGCTGTGGCATATGTAATTTTATTAGTTTTGTTTCCAAGATCGTATTTTTAACACCAAGGGGTATTTGAGTTGGCATGCAGTAGTCACTGTCTTTTCTTATCCTTTCTCATTAGCACATTTTCAGTGATTAGATTCTTACATTAGCTAATGGTGTGTTTGGAAGAAGGTGAATGTTTCAGGACAGAGGGGTAGAACTTTAGGAAAATGGCATTAAAGATGGATAAGTAAACTATACGTGCACGAGGAAAAGATGGACAAATGAGTGTCTGTAGTATAAATCATATATGCTCTTTACTTTTTTATTTTATCGGTACGTTTAAGATATACAATACACTGACATTCATCATTGGACATTTGCACCTTTACATAATCCATCTTGGTTCTTATTTTTTCCCCATTCCCCTGCCCTCTCTTCAACCCCTCATATATGGTCTTTATTAAGTGACAACTATATGTCACATAGTATGACTAAAACTTTTGTAAATTAAATTGCTAAATATTTCTAATAACACAGTGAGGTTAATTTTATTAACACCACTTTACAGACAAGAACGCTATTAAGAGAGTTAAGTAAACTCTCCAATAAGGCATGAAACTGGGCTTTAAGATCTAAATCAGTTTGACTTCAAACCTGGAGTGTTATATATCCAAGATTCAAAGAGTAAGAACATTAACTGTTTTTGACTTCGTGGGACTTGTTTTTTATCTCCCATTCCTTTCCTTTAAAACTCCAAAAACTATTAAGCAACCTCAAGAAACTTGTTTTTCTCCCAATGGAAAAGATTCAGGTCTCCATAAAATTGTTAATTCAGCAAGAAATCTTCCTTGCCAGAAGGTAGGATTTTTTGTGTCAGAGAATTAGTCCTAGTTTGTTCCTGGTCCAGCCATATTTATCATTATATGTTGTAGTAAAATGTAAGCTGCATAAAGACAAGGTCTTGTTTGTACCTATCTTTGCTATATTCTTTCCTGTTTCACAATATCTGACCCCTGGCAAATGTTTCATAAATACTATTGGTGGTGATACTTCTAGGAACAAAGAAGCGTACAAAAATTTTTTGCTTCAGATTATAGGCAATTAAAATCAATGTGTTTTACTTCACTTTTAAGAGTCAGAAAGGCATTAGTCTTTACCTTTCTGTACACCAAATTTCCCCTTACCCTATATATTATTTAGAATTTTCCTAACACTTCATTCTTCTATGTACATCTTTAAACAGAAAATATCAATGTTAATTTAGCTCTGGATTATGAATGTTCGGTGAATCAGCTATAATCACTTTATTGGACTCATTTGTTAGATCTTATTTCTGACCTTTTCTGTGATATTTTAAACAATATTTTGAAAGCTTTCTCAGCACACTGGATTACTTTGTTCCATTTTTTCACTTCTCTTTTTTGAAAAGTTATTGTACTCTCTCTCCTAAGCATGAATTCGGTTATTTTTTTTAAAGAGTAAGTGCTTGTATTTTAGCTATTCCTTGGGTTAGGGCACATACATCTGTACATTTTCCTACTTTCAAAAAGTTAATGATAAAAAATAGCTTTTGTTGAAAAAGGCAAGAGGAGGCTGTGCTAGATGAGATGGTATGTATGCAGAAATAAGCTAGCCTGAAGAAAATGAATGACAAAGCAGATTTGATCTGAAAATCTGAAGATTCTTTTAGTTCCCACTATCTGGAAATGCAATTTTGGAGTTTATCTTCTTGCACTGCTTGGTTTTTATCCTCCTGGCTAGTACTCTATAGGAATAAGAATAGCAAACTTCAGTTATTACGTAGATCCCAGCTTATGTATTAATCTGAAAAGTTATAAATCAAGAGATTTTTCCTGGGGCTCTGGTTTTGTGACATTCAATAAAATAAGATTTGATGACTTAGATTCTAATTTAATTCTTTCTTCTTTTCTTCTACCCTTAATACTTATAATAATGTTATAGAACACATTCCATTTCCAGAGGCTTTCAAAGCCTTTTAAAATAAACTGAAGTTGATATTATTAAGTGGAACATTAGAGACTAGAGCACATTTATGTGTTGTGAAAATATGTGAAATGAAAATACTGCACTTCAGATACACATCCATTTGGGAACTCATCACATACTCCTGATTCTTGTCTTTGATCATGGTACATTATTTTTGCCTTGCAACCTTTGCACAGGCTCATAGAATGTGGTATTTTAGAATATACAGCTCCTTTCTATTTGCTTATTTAACTACTGATCAGTCTTTAAAGTCAAGCTGAAGTCTTGCCTCCCTCATGACACCTCATCCTATGATCTTTAGTCAATATATGAACTCTATTTTTTGCCACTCTTAGCTTTTCTCTGCATCATGCAAGTAACATCAGATTGGTCACATAGTCATCGAGAATCCATGTAGTGCAGAAGATCCAGCATGGGTCTTGCAGTTATCCAAACCTAGCTAGACTATTTGTGTTGCCTTGGACACCCAAGTTTCTTCTTTTAAAACATGAGGAAATTAACACCTAACTTACAGCCTGTTTTGAGAAAATGGTATATAAAGTGAGTCCTTTAAATCATAGGAAGGGCTTAACAAGCACTTATTTTTTTTTAGTATGAATAACTATCATAATGTTTTGTTTTCATAAACCTTTTTCCTAAATGGTTTTGAATTTCCACAATTTCTGTTTCATATATTTTTCTGTATTACATATACCAGTAGGGCCCAGGACTGTTACAGACATATAGAATGGAGTGCTTTTGTACATATGTAGTCTAATGGGTAGTGATGCATGTTACAGAAGGAGCATATCTCTCAAAAAGGGAGTTGTGACATTTGGTTTCCATATGTTTCTAGAGTAGTCTCTCTCTCTCTCTCTCTCTCTCTCTCTCTCTCTCTCTCTCATTCTCTCTCTCTCTCTCTCTTGGTTTGTTTGAGACAGGGTCTCACTATGAGTTGAGGCTGACCTGGAACTCCCTATGTAGCCCAGGCTGGTCTCGAAGTCACAGTGATCCTCCTGCCTCAGCCTCCTAAGTGCTGGGATTACAAGTGTGCACCACCATGCCAGCTCCCTATAGTAGTCTCTTGATGGACAGTGAAATTAAGGTCCAAGTTTTTGTGCCATGGCAATACATGGGGGAAATGGGTCTTAGGTTCAATATCTGGGCCAAATTTCAACTCATGTAATAATTATATCCTATGTGCTTAACTGTCTTTTGTACATGTAGGTGGTATT